GGTTTTGTCATATATGGCCATATGAGGTATATTCTCTCTATCCCACTTCCCTCTCACAATCCAGGACTGCTGGCTCCCAACTGCTCACCTGCCTGATTGTCCCTAACTGCTTCTGCCTGCCAACCTGATTACTCCCTAACTACTCCCCTGCCAGCCTGATTGACCCTAACTGCTCCCCTACTGGCCCGATTGCCCTTAACTGTCCTTCCCTGCTGGCCTGATCACCCTCAACTGTCCTCCCCTGTAGGCCTGATCACCTCCAACTGCCCTCCCTTGCAGACCTAATCCTTCCCAACTGCCCTCCCCTGCTGACCTGATCACCTACAACTGCCCTCTCCTGCCAGCTATCTTGTGACGACCATCTTATGTGTTGGGGTGACAGTCAATTTGCATATTACCTCTTTATTATATAGGATTAGTACTAGATTTTATCAAATGCTTTTTTGATTCTAATGATATAATCATGTAATTTTTATCCTTCATTTTGTCTATGTGGCATATCACATTTATTGATTTGTGGATAATATCACCTTGCATCCCTGAATTAAAATCCACTTGAGCATAGTGTATGATCTTTTTAATGTATCACTGGATCCTGTTTGATAATATTTTGTTGAGGATTTTACCATTTATTTTCATCAGGGATATTGCCTATACTTTTCTTTCTTTGCAGTGTCCTTCTCTGGTTTTGGAATTAGGATAATGCTGGCCTCATAAAATGAGCATGGAAGTTTTGCCTCCTCTTGAATTTGGGATAATTTGAGGATAGATGCTGGTTCTTCTTTGAATGATTGGAAAATTCACTTGAAAAGCTATCCAGTCCAGGGCTTTTGTTTACTGTCAGTTTTCTTATTATTGCTTTGATTTCATTAGTTTTAATTCATTTATTCAGATTTTCTGATTCTTCCTGATTCAGTTTTAGAAGGTTGTATGTTTCTAGAAATGTATACATTTTGTCTAGATTGTCTAATTTATTGGCATATAGTTATTTGTAATACTTTTTTACAATCCCGTATATTCCTATGGAATCAGTTGTTACTTCTCTTTTTCCATTTCTGATTTTATTTATTTGGGTCCTCTCCTTTTTTTTCCTTCATGAGTTTGGCTAAAGGTTTGTCAATCATGTTTATCTTTTCAAAGAACCAGCCCTTGTTTTCATTGATCTTTTGTATTGTTATTTTAAAATCAATTGCATTTATACTCTGCTCATTATGATTTCCTTTCTTCTCATAAGTTCTAGTGCAAAATGAAAATGCAGGCCCCATTTTTAAAACACCGTTAAGAATTTTAAGATGCCAGAGGATCCAAGATGGCTGCGCCCAGGTGAATACCTAGCTGCAGCCTCACACAACAATTTCAATAAAATACAACTAAAATATAAAACGGACATTACCCAGAACTACAGGAAAGTTGACTGGAAATTCTACAACAAGAAGCAAGGAGATAACCAGAAGGAAGCATGGAGGAGCTGGAAAAGCCCAAGGTACGGAGACACGTGTCGCGCGGAGAGGAAGGAGCCGGAGAGGAGGGAGGAGGAGTGCCTGGCGGGCATTCCCCAGCGGGAAGGAGATAAAACTCCAACTGTGCTGGGCCCCCGACTGCTCTGAACCCCAGGCCTAGGCCAGACCCCGGGGACCCAGGCTCAGCCATAGGGAGCCGGGCTGCAAGGCGGTACCCCGGGAAGCGGCAAAAGGGGGTCCTGGCGGCAGCGCGCAGTGCGCTCAGAGAAGGGACGGCCCGCTGTGCCACGGGATTGCCTGGCGGGAAGGAGACAGGGGCGCCAGACTGCTCTGAATGCCACCTCCAACTCCACTTCCAACTGAACTGAACCCCAATGCCGGGCTCATTGGGGAGAGCATTGACTGTTTGGCAGCAGGTGAAAATCGAGGGCACCTTTCTCTCAGAGGCGCAGGCAGCGAGCACTGAAGGACCCGCATAGGGCGGGGCTGACGGAAGCCAAAGCTGCAGGCTCCACCCTGAAACCCCGCCCCATCTGTAGCTGCGAAATGCGACAACGAAATAGATCACAAACAAAACAAATGGAGGACAAAAAGCGTCTGGATATAGAGTTCAAATCTACGCTTATAAGGTTTTTCAAGAATTTCCTAGAAAAGATGGATAAGACCTATGAGGATATGAAAAGAGATCAACTAGAATTAATAAGGAGTCATCAAGAAATGATAAGGGATCAACAAGAAATGATAAGGGATCAACAAGAAATGATAAGGGATCAACTAGAAATAAAGAATACATTGTCTGAAATAAAAAATATTTTACAGAGTCCTAAAAACAGAAGGGAAGATCGCAAGAATCAAGTCAAAGATTTGGAACATAAAGAGCCAGAAGACACTCCTCCACAGAAGCTAGAAGGCAAGAGAATCCAGAAAATTGAAGATAATGTAAGAAACCTCTGGGACAACTTCAAGCGAACCAACATCAGCATTATGGGGGTCCCAGAAGATGAGAGAGAGCAAGATATTGAAAACATACTGAAAGTAATAGTGACAGAAAACTTCCCCCACCTGGGGAAAGAATTAGACTTACAAGTCCAGGAAACGCACAGAACTCCAAACAAGAGGAATCCAAAGAGGACCACACCAAGACAAACCATAATTAAAATTCCAAGAGCAAAAGACAAAGAGAGAATATTAAAAGAAGCAAGAGCAAAGAAGGTAGTTACCTATAAAGGAGCACCTATATGATTGTCAGCTGACTTCTCAACAGAAACCATGCAGGCCAGAAGGGAATGGCAAGAAATATTCAAGATGATGAATAGTAAGAACCTACAGCCAAAGATAATCTATCCAGCAAAGCTATCACTCAGAATCGAAGGTCAGATAAAGAGCTTCACTAATAAAAAAAAGCTAAAGGAGTTCATCAACACCAAACCAGAATTATATGAATTGCTGAAGGGGGTTCTTTCAGAAGAGAAAGTAAACAAAGATAAAAATTATGAACGACAAATACGTAACTACCAACAAGTGAATCTACAATAAAAAACAAGGAAATTAAAAAAAAATCTGATGAACAATAGTAACTGTTGAATATAATAGAATCAGAGGTATAGAAGGGGAGTGAACTGACGATTCTTGGGGAAAAGGGGAGAGGGGGGCATGGGAAGAGACTGAACATAAACTGTGCACCTATGGATGAGGACAATGGGGAGTGGGGAAAGGGCAGAGGGTGGGGTGGGAACCTGGTGGAGGAGAGCAATGGTGGGGTGGGGGAAAAGGAACATTTGTAATAATATGAACAATAAAAACTTATTTAAAAAAATGAGGTAATGAATTAAAAAAAAAAAGAATTTTAAGATGCCAAAAGCAGAGCATTAAACAACTATAGGGTCCTTCTACACATCTGTACATGAAGCTCTTCTGATCCTCTTTCTCATTTATTTGTATTAGTATAGAAAGTATGTCAGAGACACCTAGATACCTCTCTCTATGGCCATCCATAAATTCTGTTTAAAGCAGGCAAGCCACTATATTTATATAGCACAGTTGTCCATAACAAAAGGCCCTTCCAGCCAACTATACAAAATTGAATTAATAGTACAGTTACATCACAAAATTATAATTACAAAATTATATCAATAGTACAAAAATGTATGTCCACTTGAAGGCAAAAGTATACAAAAATACATGTTCACTTTAAATACTGAAAGACAGAATCAACTACTATTATGACAAAATTAGTTACTATTGAATAATCTCTAGCTCCTGAAATCCAGTTTAAATTTGCCTCTTCTCTTGTGGTATCATCTCCGTTCCTTTTCATCTCAGAAGTGATGGAGTATTCAACCAATTTTATTTTCCTAGTCATAAACATCCAAAACAAACGTATGAACACCATAGAAGAAAAGGAAATTCCGGGTTAAAAAACTTCAGGACTGGAAAGGAAATAAGAAGCTTGAAAATATGTTAAATCAAACAAAATTTCTTTTTAATTACAAAATCTATTTTCAATAACTCAATCAAAAAGCATAAGTTAGAAGTGATATCCCACCCATTTACTCAACATTAATTCAAAAAAGTTATCACTTTTAGGTAGTTCATCACTAAATGAAAAATACAGAAGCTTACAAGGGAATATTGTATTGTGTGACATCTTTCCTAACTCAGAATACTGGCAGCAGGAGAAATATAAGGAAAAGAGAATTTCCATTTCTCTTGAACTAATACACATTTTATTTATTCATTCTGCAATGTAGAATTTTTTTCAGAATTTTTTTGTAAATATTCAAGCCTTCAACATACACTGCCCATTTTCTATTTTGAAATACAAAAATATAGCAACTTAAGGGGAAAATGTCATGTGCACTGCTTACTTACATAACAAAAGCTACATAAATCATATCACTATCTTTCTGGTATTGCTAATAAAAACCCTTAAAACTACTAATGGCTGATTTTTTTTTGGGGGGGGGGGGGGAGAGGGACTACAGGATACTAACTACCCAGTGCTCTATAAATTATCTTTAAATTTATATTCTACTGCTACTATTGAGCTGTAGATTTACATAAGAAAAATTAAAATAATTTAAACAGTTAAAATCCCCATAATTAGAACTTTATGTTGGAAACCTTTAACAGATTGTGAACTCTTTGCTCTTCATCTTGATCCTTTAAATTCAGATTCCTGAGCCAGACTAAGATAAATATCGGTTTCAACTATGAATAAAAAGTGTCAGTTAACCAGTTAACTCTGCCATCACTCAGCCTGTCATTTAGACGTGGGCAGATGCAGCTTCCAGTGGCAACCAAAGGCTGGGTCCCCCTCACCCTGCAGACCTCCTGGGCCGGAGACCCCGCCCGCCCCACCTGTCTCCCGCCACGCCCACCCCTCTGGGCCCCGCCCGCCCCCTCTGGGCCCCGCCCCCGCGCAGGCGCGCCTCCCGCCCCCTGCGCTCAGCCAATAGGAGAAGAGTTTGTGCAGCGCCTTCCCTCCCGCCGTCGCCGGGATCTCGCAGTCCTGCCCCGGCCCGGAGCTCAGACTGGAAGATGGCGGCGGCCGCCGAGCTGACGCTGCTGGAGAAGTCCCTTGGGCTGAGGAAAGGGAACAAGTACAGCGCTCAGGGCGAGCGCCAGGTGAGGAGCGGGGGCGGCGCGGAGGGGATGAGCTGGCCGGAGCGGGGCCCGCTGGGCCGGGGGGACGGCCGGCCGGCAGGGCCGGAGGCGGGAGGATGCGGCCTCGGCGCCCACGTGTCCGCGCGGGGGGCGGGCTGGCGGGCGCCTCGGGTCTCTACCTGCAGCCCTCGCTCCTGCCCCCTGTGGGCTCGGCCCCAACTCTTCCTCCTGGGAGAGGGTTGTGACCCGGTGGGGGGCAAAGCTGAGAGAATCCCCCGCGCCCACGGGTACACCAGCCTGGAGGCCCTGCCTTCAGTGACAGCAGCTGCGGGAGAGCAGCTTCCATTCATCGCCCGGCAGCCGCTGCGGAGCCCCGTGCGGCCGGGCTGCGGCGGGGTCGGCGGAGCGGACACCCCCTCCGCGGGGAGCTGAGGGCCCGCCGTGCCGCCGTTCCCTCGCGGTACGAGGAAGCCGATACAGGGTGGCCGTGGCCCAGTCTGCTTCCTTTTCTTTCTTTTAGCAGAAGACAGCTATTGAAAGTTCCTATGTATGTGTTTGGGGAAGGGATGAGGGTTTGTGATAAGATTCAGTCTGGTGTGTGTGTGTGTGTGTTTTTAAGACAGTTGACAGCGTAAGCCAACAAGTCGTTCTCTGAAACATAATAATAACGATCAATAATAATTGAATACTGAAAACAATTCAGAAGATCCAGCTCTAGGGGAATGGTTCATCATATTCCTTATGTAGCCCTTTAGAAGTGATTAATTGAACACCATTAAGATGAATGTGAAAGTAGTAGGTGTGCCATAATTGCATCTAAGATTTCTGTACTAAAGAGAATGGACTTTGGAGCCAGTTGTATTTTATTCGAACCCTGACTCTGACATTACAAACCTGGTGACCTGGGTTTTTAATCTGTAAAACGCTGACAAGATTACATACCTGTCTTGGGAGATGATGATTAGACAAAGCTAACTGGGATTTGTGTGTGTGTGTGTGTGTGTTAGTATGCTGGGTTGTGCATAATTTATTTTTACTAATAATTCTCTCTAAAATTGTCATCTGTCCCCCCCCACCCCCCCCCCTCATCACACACACTCTAAACATTTGCAAGTTCTTTGGTTTCTTTCCTCCCTCCCCTATTCTCCCCAACCCTCCCTCCTCCCCTCACCTCCCTTCCCCTCCCCACCTTTCCCTCCCTCTCCCCTCCCATCCCTTATCCTCCCCTTCTCCCCACCTTTATCCCCCCTTGCCCAACATACATTCAGAAAAAGTATACAATTCTCAGTGAATTACCACACAGTGAACATACCCAAGTAACCACATAGTCAAATAATGGAACATTAATAACACCTTCAGATGATTCCATATTTTCTTTTAAGACATTTTTAAAGGAAGTTATGGGTTATCTTAGAGGTAGTAGTTTTATTTGAGTGTGAGGGCAAAAGTGAGAATTCAAGAAGTAGTGAATGGGAAATACAGTTGACCTTTGAACAATATGAAGGTTTAGGGCACCAATATCTCATGGAGTTTAAAAATCCATGTAAAACTTTTGACTCCCCCAAAAATGTAATAGTAGTAGGTGAGGAAGTGGAAAGTGGAGAGTTACTTCCTTTTAACTTTCAGGGGGAACCTTTTTTTTTTTTTTTTTCAGTGTAAAATTTTTATATTTAGAATTAGGCAGCTGGACTCAGTTTAGATGATTCCAATTTTGTTGGCAACATCCAAAGCATCACAGTCAGGAGCCAGTCCAACATATGCCTTCTTCTCGCCATCAGGCCTGATCAGGGTGTTGACCTTGGCCACATCAGTGTCATGGAGCTTCTTCACAGCCAGTTTGATCTGGTGCTTGTTGGCCTTGACATCCACAATGAACACAAGTGTATTATTGTCTTCTATCTTCTTCATGGCTGACTCGGTAGTCAGGGGGAACTTGATGATGGCATAGTGGTCAAGCTTGTTTCTCCTGGGCGTGCTCTTCAGAGGATATTTAGGCTGCCTCCGGAGCCTTACTGTCTTTGGCCGTCGGAAAGTGGGTGACGTGCGGATCTTCTTTTTTTGTGGCTGTGGACGCCTTTCAACACTGCTTTCTTTGCCTTCAAAGCCTTTGCTTTGGCTTCGGCTTTGGGAGGGGCAGGGGCTTCCTTCGCTTTCTTTGCCTTCGTAGAAACTCAGGGGTAACCTTTGACTCTAATCATGAAATGCTAATCTCCCCTTATACTTCACAGAGTCCTATTGACTTAATGTAAGTATCAGAGTTCCCTGAAAAATATAAACCACTAGATGAGTATGAGATACTATTTCATGGCTGAAAAGAGCAGCAGTTTCCCCAAGAATGTATTCATGTTTGGTCTGCATTCATTTAGATTGCATTCGTGTTATTTATAACTAGGGGCCCCGTTGCAGGAAGATTCCTGCAAGCCATCGCCCCACCCATGCTTTCCCTCCCTCTTCTATGCAGTCTTCAGTCTTCACTCTTCCCCCCTCAGCATATGCAAATACAGTTTAATGTACTGCTGGATCCAATTTTGTTGAGGATTTTAGCATCTATTTTCATCAAGGACATTGGCCCTTATAGTATCTTTATCTAGTTTGAAATTAGGATAATGGTAACTTTGAAAAAGAGCTTAAATTTTCTGGAATAGTTTGAGAAGGTAGGTGTTAGTTCTTCTTTGCAAGTTTGGTAGAACTCTCCTGTAAAGCTGTCTGGTCCAGGTTGGTTATTTGGGTTCTCCTATTGCAACTGGTTCTTGATTATGTCTGTCCCATTCATGGGTGGAATCTTCCCTCAGGCTGGCTGACTGTGAGGCTCAACTCCCTCCGCCCCCACCACCATATTGTGTGAGCTGTTATGCAGGTGTTGATAGAACAAATGAAATAAAACTAGAAAATAAATAAAACATACAGAAGATCCCCACAATAACAACAAAAGCAACTTCAAAACAAAGGAGAATTTAGAAAAGAAGAGAGCAAGTATAAAAGAAAGGGGGAATATTACAAAAGATGAAAAAAGTAGAAAGAAAAGAGAATATGAAAAGAAGGGGGAGCAATTACAAAAATAAAGAATAGGAAAAGGAAAACAGTATAAGTGAAGATAAAAAATTAGGAAAAGGAAAAAATAAAGGGGGTAAGAAGAGAAAGAAGGAGGAAGAAAAGAAAAATAGAATAAGAAAAGGAAAGAGAAAAAGAGATATGGAAGGAAAAAGAGTAAAAAATAATTACAATACAATAAAAAATGCAAAAGAAATTAAGGTGGGTTTTGTCTCAGCAGAGTTAAATTCATTATGGGAGCTCCCTTTGGATCCTGCTTTATGTTGACTGAAGCTGACTGTTTTGTATGCCATTTATGGCGTCGTGGGAGGTAATTGAGTTTATTCTTGTGCATGGTATAAGTTAGAAGTCCAAAGCCAACCCATGTTTTGCTCTTCTGCAACCTTTTCAAAGCTTCAAGCAATCCACAGTTTATGGCTGCCTCCTCAGAGCTTGGCTGTGCTAGGGAGAGGCCAGGCTGTGTGCTCTAGGCCCGGCTTGTTAGCTTGACAGGGCCATGTCAGCAAATGTCCAAAGGCACCTTGGGCTCTTCCTCTGCTTGCTTCTGCCTGCTGGCCAACTGTCAGACTTGGTCACTAAAAAGGCTCTCTCTGAAAGGGCTTTTGGCAGAATTGGGAGGATGAGACCCATGAGTCTCCTGTGAGGGGGAGGTGCCGTTCTGATTCCAGGGAAGATTGTGGGTGTGTTTTCCCATCCCAGCCACTCATTTGAGTCTATACGGAATATTCCCCTGATCTCAGCAGAGTGGATCTCATATTTAGTCTGGTGGGGTCTGCTGGAAATTGGTGGTTTTTACCAGTTCTTCTGCAAGGGAGAAGTGGGGGGTGTGAGGGAGAAGATCACCCCATCTCAAAGCCAATCACTGATGTTCCCTGAGACTGCACAACTTGTAGGCTTCCTCTGCTGCAGGCTCCTCAGGCAGGGGTTGTGAAGCAGGGCAGGCTTCCTGAAGGTGGGGTGAGGTGTATCCTCGCGAGCAGGTTATTTGCCTTTGCCCAGGTTGCTGATGCTGGGAAAGGCTTGTGCCTCTCAGGAAAAATGGCTACTGCTATATGGGGTGACTGAGCTCAGCTCTCCTGCCTGCAGTTCCACCCCTTCTTCCTCCCAATATCTCCCACCCCAGAATCTCCACCAAAGCCTCAGGTGAGTGGCTACAAACAAAAATTCTGTGCTTTGCCGAAACTGGTTTGGCTCAGTGGATGGAGGGTCGGCCTGCTCCCGGGTTCGATTCCGGTCAAGGGCATGTAACTTGTTTGCTGGCACATCCCCAGTGGGAGGTATGCAGGAGGCAGCTGGTCAATGTTTCTCTCTCATTGATGTTTCTAACTCTATCCCTCTCCCTTCCTCTCTGTAAAAAATCAATAAAATATATATATTTTTTAAAATCCTGTGCATTGTTGTTGTTGTTGTTGTTTTTAAACTGCTTCTCTCTTTGGCTTTCACGGGTCACAATTCTCCAACCTTGGGGAGCCCTGGGCCTTACTCCTCTTAGGGAACCTCCCACCCCCACCCTCAACCCCTGCAGCCAATATATATCTCCTCACCTTCACCCTGGTGCCTATAGGAGCTGGGCCAGCTGCTCTCGTGACCCTGCTCTTCCTAAAAGTCTCATTTTATTACTAAATAAAAATTAGTTTTTACTTGGAATTCAGAGTGAATGTTCCCCAATTTAGTTGAGTTTGGTTTGGTTTTGAGAGGAGGTGCAAGAAGAGTCCACTTACTCTGCTGCCATCTTGAAAAAAAACCTTAAAGTGAAATCTTAGAGTATTTGAGAGCTTGTTTGGAGGTTTTAGCAGGGAAGCGCAGCTACTCATATACCCTTGACTGAAGACCGGTCCTCTCCTCTTGGGGGAAAGTCGTCCTCTTTGACTGAGCGCGCAGCTTCGGGAGGGGCGCACATGGATGAGGAGGGGCGCACATGGATGGGGAGGGGCGCACATGGATGGGGAGGGGCGCACATGGATCTGTGAGGGAGGAGAGGGACACCCGCCTAGCCAGCCAGATCAGCCGAATCAACCCTGGCAATCAATGGGGTGACAGATGTCGCAGCCAGATCGCCCTCACATCCGAAATCTTAAGAGTATTTGAAAAATAGTTGAGGGAATGAGCAATTACTTAGAATTGCAGTCCTGTTAGTATTTTAAAAATTTACATGAACTCTTTTTTTTTCTTTTTAAGATTCCAGTTCTTCAAACAAACAGTGGTCCATGTCTAACAGGATTGGCTACTATAGCAGCTCATCTAGTCAAGGAAGCCAACAAAGAATATTTGCTTGGGAGCACTGCAGAAGAAAAAGCAATAGTTCAACAATGGTTAGAATTCAGAGTTACTCGAGTAGATGGAAACTCCAATAAAGATGATGTCCGCATTCTGTTGAAGGTATTGTGACTTCTCTTTATAGTCTAAAATGAACGACCTGTTAATAGCAGGAATCTTTCTTCCCTGACTGTCTGTAGCTGAAACTTTGTCTTTGTCCTTATTTCCTTCTGCCTCAGGGTTTGTACCTGGTATTGTTTTTACCTGAACTGACTCTGCCAGCCTTCCCTGTTCAGATCTCCGCTTAGATACCCCTTCCTCAGAAACATCCTTGTGCACTTCTCTCTCACACAGATGCCATTCCTTGTCCTATATGCTTTTCCTTCAGAATTCCACACCCTGTACTTTTCCTCCATATCACTTATCATAGCTAGTAATTATAACTTTGTAAGATTTCTTTTTTTAATGTGATGGCTTAATGTTTATTTTTTCACTAGGAAATCCTGATTCCTTAATCAGTAAAGTAATTTTTTTAAAGACAAAAATTGGGGATTGTGGTTTAAGAAAAAATGTCAGATTGATATGAGAAAGCTCATATTTTCCTCCTTTAAGACTTAAATACATTAGGATTTCTATTTTCTTTCTGAAGAAATCACATTAGAATAAAAGTATCTGTTGAGATAAAATATAAACTAAATATGGCTTCTGAGTCACCAAGAATGAAAAATATTCCAGCTGGACTTATTTTTCTTAATTATGTTTGTAAAAATAAAGCAAATTGTCTCGGCAGTTGAGCATCGACTCATGAACCAGGAGGTCAGGATTCTATTCTCAGTTAGGACACATGCCTGGGTTGTGGGCTGGAACCCCCAGTAGGGAACATGCAGGAGGCAGTTAATAAATGATTCTCATCCATGTTTTTATCTCTCCCTCTCCCTTTTCTCTGAAATCAATAAAAACATATTTAAGTAAATAAATAAAAATAAAGCAAATTTCTTAAAAATTGTGAAAGCTTAAAAGTTAAAGGTATCTAGAGATCATCCAAACCAGCAGTTGCCAACCGGTGGTCCGTGAGGTCCGGAAGGTTGGCGACCGCAGATCCAGTCATATATCACTGCAGGGACTCCTTCCTAATTTTGTTTCCATTATATAAATCAACCATATACTAGTAAGTTGTGCAAGATGATGTTATGGTACTGAAAGTTTTTCGTTTATCATTCTGAGGAAAATGGCTTAAACTATGTTTTTTGTTTCTTTGGTTGGTTGGTTGTTTTTTGTTGTTAATCCTCACCTGAGGATGTTTTCCCATTGATTTTTAGAGAGAGTGGAAGGGATGGGGAGAGAAAGAGAGAGAAACTTTGATATGAAAAAGTCACATTGATTGGTTGCCTGCTGCACATGCCCTGACCAGGGTTGGGGATCGAGCCTGCACAAGGTTTGTGCCTTTGACCATGATCAAACTGGCTAGTGCTAAACTAGTTTTTGATAGAAACTGACAATAGAACTGATAGGAAATAAATTTCAGGCCTTGTTCCTTTGTAGGCCTGTCCTGGTGATCTGTCATTCTTAATATCCACACTGACCCTTTCCTCTGCCCCCTGCAATGCTTGGCAGCATTTCCAGATGGGAGCAAGCCTATCTTCCCTAAGTGAATGTGATATTTCAGGCAAGTAAAAAAATAAAAAAATATAACTATCTCTTATAGTTTTCCAGAAAAGGGACAGTAATAAAGTACCTGATTCTGAAACATAGAAGCAAGATTTCATTGAATTGGCTTTTTAAGTTCAAAAAATAGATTTGCTATTAGGAGTATAAAAAGTAATTCAACCAAAATGTTGTATCTGAGATATATAAGTTTTAATTGGGACAATTTGGCTGCCATTTTCAAAATATATGAGGATCTGGGTGATTTGGGTTATGGTCCTTGCTCTGCCACAGTGTCTGTATCTAACAGATGTGGTAGTGACCCATCAGACACAGTCCCTGCCCTCACAGAAGTTGAACCAATGGAGAGGCAGATATACAGATAATGGACTGCAATGTGGTTTTGGCCATATGAGCACAGATGAGAAGGGTTATATTTTATTTTTCTTTGCTTTTTGCTGTTTTACGATATTGTTTTTATTTTAAAGAGAATAGATATGTGTTATAGAAATTAGAAAATATAAATAAACAAATAAATTTCAAACATTTGTAGTTCCATGAAAAACTGTTAATAACATTTATGTTTAGTCATCAGATATTTACTGAACCTTTTTTGTGTTCTTTCAAAGCTTTTTTTTTTTTCATGTAGGCATGTGTTTTATTTTCTTTACTGAGTGTGTTATGAATGTATTTACATGTTTATAAATATTCACTTAAATTATCTTTTTAATAACCTCTTAGTATTCCATCATATAAAATAAACAGCCCTGGCCTGTGTGGTTCAGTTGGTTAAATGTCATCCTGTGCACCTGAAAGGTCACTGATTGGATTATTGGGCAGGGCACATTCCCAGGTTGCAGGTCCACTGCTTGGTCAGGGTGCTTGTGGGACACAATCAATTGATGTTTCTCTCCCTTTCCCTTCCTCTCTCTCTAAAAAAAAAAAAATCAATAAAAACCCTTTTTAAAAATCTTTTTAAAAGGAAATAAACATAAGACATTAATGTGACTAATCAGAAGTATTACCTAATCATAGTTTTTTGTCCTTGGTTATAAGATTATAACCTTATAAGTTTGTATAACTAAAACATAGATGTAGATTCTATTTTAAGAATATGTACACTATATTAAGGAGTGTTAAATTATTGTTTCAGACCTTATTTTAAAATGCTTCTTAAAATTAAATGATCTGTTTCTTTGTCTTCACATTTTGGCTGCTTCCCTGAGTTGATGGAGTGGCTTTGTGTGCTAGGTGTCCTAGAGGGCCCAGTGGCTCAGCCTCCCCAGTTACTTGAAGTGAACACTCTTGGTGCACCCATTTGTGGGCTGTGCGCATAGTCTTGTTTTAGTTAAGCCTTGATTGTTGTTGGTATCACTGGGAGGAATTGGCCTCCAGGCCAACTGGTTGTGAGAATAAGCTGTGTCTATGATGGGAGAACTTCTGTGCTGGTGACATTCCTTATGAGACAAGTCTTGCTTCAATGGGACTTTGGTGCTCACTCAGTCTGCCCCCTGAGTGTGTCCCTTATAAATCTGAGGAGATATAATCTGGATGGTCCCATACTGACCCCAGGGTACACTGGCTCTTGGATCTCCATGGAGGTGGTAATTTAGGCTCTGCCTGAGGCCACCCAGCAGGAGCTACAGGGAGATCTGCAGATTCCTCTTCTTTTTTTGGGTTTTGGAGGTGTCCAAATGAGGCCCAGCTGTGAAGCAAGGCAAGCTGCTATGGGGCCTTGGGTCTTCTTTTGGATATTCTGGGTCTCACTGACTCAGCTGCAGTTTGTTAGGTAAATTTAAAATTCAAAGAACCAGGCCATTCATATGCAAAAGTATCTGCTCAACTTGGATGGGGTGGAGTCTCAGGGCAGAACACACAGCAAAGGCTTCGTGGGGCAGGATCTCAAGGCAGAGCAAACCGCAATGGCGCCTGACAGCCTTGCCCTAAGTGGACCCTGGGTCTCAGTATCCTGTGATAATCAATGCAAGCACCTCTGAGAGAAAGCCGCCCTCGCATTTTGCCCACAGCCAGACAGCCCAGTTTCTCCCCCTATGAGTCTGAGTCTCCAGACTCACCTGAAACCGGAGTTCAAAGCAGTCGGGAGCTTTTTGTCTCCCTCCTGATTGAGAAAGCCGGCTGCATACTTAGTTGCCAGCCCTCTCCTCGAGCGCCTCTGTACCTCTACCTTCCACAGCTCCTGTGAGTCTCAGTGTGCTTTTCTCTTTCCTTCCAGTTGTAGAATTTCCACTCAGCTAGCCCTCCTGGGGTTCTGGATGATGTCCATTTTGTCTTTTAGTTGTAGTTTTGCAATAGTTGTGCGAGGCAGCAGTTCAGGTGTTTACCTATGCCGTCATCTTGATTTCTCCAAGATGGCAAATCTATGTTCCATATATTCTACCACATTTAAAATTTTTTAAATATATAAAAATGAAACTCACAAATTATAATTCTCTAAAGAGTTAGAAATCGAAGAGCTTTTTCCATTTCAATGAAAAAATATTTCTAACATGAGCATGTTACAAAATGTTCCTCTCCATATCCACCCCCATACCCCCCAAAAAAAATTTAGGCATCTGAAATGATCAGTTTGAATATCATTTTTAAATTTTTTCTTATTTCTTTAAAATAAGATTAACAATGTTTGTCCTAGTTTTTTTTTTTTTAAATGAGGTGATTATGAATAAATCTATTAATTTCAAAGATAATTTATTAAACCAAAATGTCAGTACTGTGTTTTCTAATAGCTTTCTAAATGTTTTAAAATCAGATGATAAATACAGTAGTTAACTTTAGTATTACTGGTTTTAAAATAAACATTTTGTTTTCTTTCTAGGATCTTAATTCATATCTTGAAGATAAAGTCTATCTTACAGGATATAACTTTACCTTAGCAGATATTGTTTTATACTATGGACTCCATCGCTTCATAGTGAGTATTTGAAGTTATTGACTTTTTTCCTATAATGTTCAGATGATTATATTTATTTGTCTTGAATTGAGTAATTTCAATTTTCAGTTTATCAAATAAAAATGAAAGGAATAGCTCTGGCCAGTTTGGCTCAGTGGATAGAGCATCGGCCTGCAGATGATCCCAGGTCCAATTCCAGTGAAAGGCACATGCCTGGGTTGCAGGCTTGATCCCCAGTAGGGGTCGTGCGGGAGGTGGCCAATCAATGATTCTCTCATTGATGTTTTTATCTCCCTCTCTCTCCCTCTCTGAAATTAATAAAAATATATTTTTTTTAAATGAAAGGAATAATTTTTATACAAGGTACCTTATGCAAATACTTCTTCCATGTGTCCATCAAATAGTTGCTTCCTGTTTCTTGATCTGTTTGTTTCTTGTACTTATTTCTGCTCCTTTTTGCAACTACTTCTCTTTCCACCCTTTGGACTTGACCGTCATCATCACCTGGACCCCACCTCTCCATCTTAATTTCAGTACTCCATGTTCTGTGCAACCTCCTATACTTAGCTCTTAATCTCTTACTCCCTAAATTCCATCATTGGAAGTCACCCCTTTCTTTTTTCTGACCTAGTATATACTTTCTTCCCCATCCAAACTAGAATCCTTTTTGTGTAACTTCAACTACATCCATCCTTTTATTATAATATCTTCAGCTTCTTTGTTCCACTTTACACTCACCACCCTTTCCCTGCCAATCCCCAACTCTTGGTCAATCTAAATAGATGCCTTCAATACTATAGACAGGCCGAGTTATGTTGGACAAATTACACTAAGATTGGTACCACTATAAATTTATACTATTCACCCAGGCTGTAATACTGATCAGCTCTTTTATTCTTCCCAGGCACAATTTTAGACCTTTAGCCTTTTGTTCAATCCCACTCTTTGCCTCCCCTGTTTATCTTCAATCATTATCATAGAGCTTTCCTCCCTTACTCAGATAGAAAAATAGAGGCTAGCCTTTAACTCTACTCAGAAAAAAAATATATTGATTTTAGATAGCTTTGGCTCTTCGAGGAAATATTTATTGTTTTAGAAAGCTTACAGTAAGTTTGACTAAATATTGCTTGTAAGTAGGATGATCATATGGTTTGTTATCCAAACCATCACTTTTTTCAGTGACATTGGGGCTATTAGTAATTATACTGGTACAACAGGAATAAGTGGATTGAATGTTTCCCACCCTTAAAAAGAGTGAGATTCATTTTAAAGCAAAATGAGATTGAAGAGAATCGTGTCATATTTCCCTTTGACCTCTTCAGCTCTTAGCATAATGCCTTGTGTAGCTAAATGCTAGTTGAGATTAGCAGTATTTAGCAATCTCTTTATATATCCTGGTTTAGATTGCATAACTTTATAGTGAAAGTATAAGCTTTAATTGTGTGTATATATATGAAGGACTGACTAGATAACTGAATGATCGGTCAACTGGTCACTATGATAGGCACTGATCACCAGGGGTCACCCCACTCAATGAAGGACCTGGTGGTCAGTGTGCTCCCACTGCCTGCCAACCTCCCATGGTCCTTCCCCCAGCCCGCCAACCCTGATCAGCCCCAGTTGCCGGCCAGACTGAGGGACCCCACCCATGCACGAATTCATGCATCAGGCCTTTAGTACTTCAATATAATTAAATCTAAAGTATTTAAATGTGAAGGCAGTTTAAGTAGAGATGAAATACTTGCATCATACCAGCCTGTTTCTATTCCATTCTGATTCAAAATATGTTAGTAGTTTTTGTTTTGTTTTTTATTTCATTTTGAAGTGTAAAAAGCCTCCAAGTAAAGAGAGCTTGCTATTAAGGTATCTATCTCCTGGTGCAAACCCAGGAGTCTTTCAACCTGGGGAAGTGCATAACTTGATTTGAATTAGTCTATGCTGCTGTGAGCAAAGCTACCTTATAGAAAGGACCAAGAATAATTTATATAAAACTAACAACATACTGTCATTTTAAATGCATATTTAAATGTGGCATTACTTAATTTTAAAGTTAATATTAGAGAGGTGCCATCTCTAATCCTATGTTATGCTTCTCAGCAGGCTAACAAAGCCTGTCAAGACCCTCCTGAGGTCTGGCTTTGTTAGCACCAACCTTTTTTTAAGAAGGACAGTGTTTCTTCCATGTAATTTTAAGAAAAAAAGATAATTCTTGCAAACCAAGTGTATATTTACATTTTTCTCTCTTGCTTACACAGTCATGCAATAGGGAAAAGAATACTCTGAGAAGGAGGGAGCTTGTGTGGAGTTTCTTTGCCAGCAGAGTGAACAAGGTCATAATTCCATAATGCAAAATATTCATAGCACCAGCTGCAGAATTATTTAATTATGGATCTAGGTGCCTTCCAGAGCATCTGGTTTTCAAGCAGAGTAGTGTTTCATTCAATGCTGCATGTTAAAACTAGGGTTACATTGACATTATTAATGATCTGGACCTATTTACAGTTCCTATTTTGAAATGTATACCTTCTTTATATATAGTGACTAGCATATTGCAATTAAGGATATTATGCTTAACTTTTTAAAAACTTAATTGAGTGGAATAATATATAAGTTTGCCATCCTTTTGTGTTCGTAAAATGAGTTCATAACCAAACCATCTCTCCCACCCTTGGTCCCAGTACGAAGTACATGGGAGAAATAAATACTTCCTCAAGGAACAGGCCTCGCAGACTAACACCTGTACTGTGACAGAATTGCACTGTGGTGTTAACAGACATCTTGTTGAGTTAGGCGTAAATATACCTACATGAGGAAAAAAATAATTACTAGATATTAAATGAGTCAGAATAGATGTAAAGTTCAGATTGGCTACCTGCTCAAATTCATCAGACAGTTTCCCGTGCTCTGTTTTGGCAGTATATTTAGTTTTGCCCTCATTCTTTCATTTGTTTGTTCATGTTATTAAATACTTAAAGTATAATCAGTGCTGTGTACAAAACAGCGGTCAGGAAACCTTCAAGTCTTCAAATAATCTAACTGTATTTTGTTTCACTGTGAGCCCAATTTTAGTTGTGGCTGACTTACTCTAATTCTAAGATCTGATCTATCTAAATTCTCTTGAGGAATAATACTTGTTCTTCCTTTGTTAAACTGCCAGTTAGTGTGGCTGTATTTATTATCACTCCAGTGACTCATTGCTTTCTTAACTGATTTCACTAGTAGATAGCAGTCCCTATGAGCAGACTGTTTCTCAAGATTATTATAATCCTTTGTAACATTATGTGCTGCTTGAGTATAAGATTATTATCTATTAAAATCCATTTGTTTTGAAGTTCGGAACACTGGAGATATGCTGTTCTTTTAGAAAGAAAGGAAAAGTAAAAGAAATAGCTGCAGAGCAGTCCAGGACTGCTGGCCATAAAGCATGTCTCAAAGGCTGCAGGGTGCCAGTTGGAAAGGTAGCAAACCAGCATTTCTCCCTGATCTGGAATGAGTCCCTTTAAGTGTTTCTCACATGTCTTCATGGAAAATTAATGACTAAGAATATTATCTGTTTGGCTTTAAAGTTCAAACTAGTTATAGAGTGCCAATAGAAATAAAAAAGGAATGACTAAGAAGGGAGAGCCAAGCATCACTGTAGACACACTGGCATGTAGACCAATAAGAGGCAGGAAGTAGTAACTAGAACAATTTTATTGTGTTTCCTGTTGTACAAAGGGGTGGGGGATGGGGACCCAAACTAGTCCACTAGGAAAGGATGAGGGAAAATCAGTGTTATAAGTAAGATAGTTGATGGGGATCCCATCCAAAATTTCTAAGAAAACAGTTTCGTGCAGAGAATCTGTTTGTTTACTGTAAGTTCAAAAGTAGATAATCCACTGAAAAAGTAGCAAAGGTAGCACATTGAGGCCAGTCATAATTTTCTTAGACTCAAGGGATAATCTCCAAAGTTTAAACCAAAAGGAGGTTAAGTGGTGACTATCATTTTAGGAAAGCTCTGTGTATTTCTAGCAAAGTTTTCTGAGGCAAAATGAACACATTTGCATTCTCTAAAATAGATCATCTGGTTTAAAATCATTAGAATAAAATGTTAGATAAAGTTTAAGGTCTTGGAATAAAAATAAGTTTATACTGTAGGTCTGTCATAATCCTTACACTAGAGACTCTAAATATGAAAGTTTTAAGTTGAAGAATACTGATTTTGCTGTGTTATAGCTTGTTATTTTAAATAATGAGCCTGGTAGCAGCATATGCTAGTCCTCTGAGAGCAGACGCTGCTGTTCTGAAATGTAAATAGTGAAAATATGTTGCCCTCTTTACTGTTCAAAATCTGCAAGAGCAGCTTGAATATAGATCAACAAGCAGTTGTACTTAATTGTTTGGAATTGCTTTCTTCTTAGTAGAGTTTAATTCATTCTGAAAAATAACATCTCACAAAATGGCTGAGTGGAGATTTTTAAAAGAAAAAGTTCTGGAGAGACTAAATTGCAAAAAAGTGGTCAGATTTAAATGATCATGAAACGAAACCTGGAGTAAAACTTGTTTTTCTGTTTACTTTAACTATCAGCAAAGAGGTTTGCTAGAGTTGATTTTGAATTTTATTTATTTATTTATTTAAGAAAATTCACCCCCATTTCCTTTTAGATTTGCAGCTATGTTTACTAGTGATTGATCTTCTAAAAAATTTTTTATATTTTCTTACTAAATCAGTGGTGAAGTTCACTTATGGTAATGAGTTAGAAAAAAGCCCTAGCCAGTTTGGCTCAGTGGATAGTGTCAGCCTGTGGACTCAAGGGTTCCAGATTCAGTTCTAGTCAACTGATTGCAGGCACATACCCAATGAGGAGTGTGCAGGAGGTAGCTGATTAATGTTTCTCTCTCATCAATGTTTCTGATTCTCTATTCCTCTCCCTTCCTTTCTGTAAAAAATCAATATATATATTTTTTTTAAAGAGTTAGAAAAAGAACCAAAAAATTATTTATAAAATGCTTTACCTTTTGAAATATAGATGGATATTTAGTCTATTCCACAATGTGTGTTTAAGCACCTCCTGTGCACAGCAACACCAGACAAGAATAACATAATTCTTATGTGTGAAACCATGACATCTCGTTTAACAAAAAGTACCTTTTGCATAAAAAAGATATTATTGACCAATTTTTTTTGACACATGTTAATTTTTTTTTTAAATCTCTATGCCATGGATTAACTAAGTTGTAGGTGAAACATTTATAGTAGCATATGTCTGATAACTAGATGAAACCTTACACCTCCTGAAACAAGATGAATATCCTGTATAATAAAAGGCTAATATGCAAATTGACCGAATGGCGGAGCAACTGGTTGCTATGACATACACTGACCACCAGGGGGCAGACGCCCAACACTGGAGCTGCTCCCTGGTGGTCAGTACACTCCCACATGGGGAGCTCTGCTCAGCCAGAAGCGAGGCTCATGGCTGTCAAGTGCAGCAGTGGTGGCAGGAAGCCGGCAGTCAAACATCCCTCTAGGGCTCCTGGACTGCAAGAGGGCACAGGGCCCTCAGTGCACAAAATTTCATGCATTGGGCCTCCAGTATTTTTACAGTTTGCTATAGCAGGTTGTATGTGGGACTTAAACCCAAACTTAAGTTCTTATGTAACAAAAGCAGTGAGACTCTCACTGCTAATAATTTAAGTAAACTGGGCCAACAGAGATAGTTGAAACCACCAAAGATAATCAACAGAGATAGTTGAAATCAACAGAGATAGTTGATATCATAATGGCAAAAAGGAAGGCAGGATAACTTACATCAGTTTTTCTTATTAAATTGCCTTGTAGTAAACATAAAATGGAAATAGGATTTCACTGAAACACCTATTGAGAAAATATTGTCGTCTGTCCTTTTATTCCTAATACTATTTTTTGTTCTGTATTAATAATTGCACTCTAGAGGGATTTATCCTTCAGTTATTTTGACCCAGTAACTTAACAGAATATTTTCCTCTAAGCACAAGTATATATATGCTAAATTTTGAGCAGATATGGGATGTCCATCTCACTTAAAGTACCTTCCAATAAGCAGACTGCTTATGGGTTTGAACCCAGAAGAGTGACTGAGGTGTTTTTCCTTGTTTAAGCATGCATGTCAGTTTCACAGAGGTGTACAATATCTGTTAAATGAATGCTGGATTTACAACAGTAGATGGAACTGCTCTACTTTTACATGGGTCATGGCTGTGTGTTATTGCCCTATTGGCTTTCTCTTTACCTGACAACTCTTCATGATTCCAATCTAAGATTTGTCTTAGAAAAAAGTATGTAAGTCTCCTACCTTGGATTTTGAGCCCAGTGAAATGATTGTCATGAACAGTTATTATTGCATCTTTCTCCAGCCTAATCTCTGCATTCTTATAGCTTGAAAGTAAATTCAGTGAACTGCTGTGTTATATCCACTGAAGACAGAGTTCAGTTTGATTGCAAACAGAATTTCAAAGATCTCTTGTCCATTTGAGGCACTTGCCACTGAAAATGCTCTTCCTTCTTTGTCATAAGCATAGATCACTTAAAATTAAATGGGCCATTGTCTTCTTTAGTGAATTTTTTCCCCCAGAGTTCAATAAAAAGAACAATAGTACACATATGTATACACCAACTATGTATAGCCAGCTACCTATTTATCATCTATCTATCTAGTGAGTTTACTTACCCTGTTTCCCCGAAAATAAGACAGTGTCTTATATTAATATTAATTTTTGCTCCCAAAGACATGCTAGGTCTTATTTTCAGGGGATGTCTTATTTTTCCATGAAGGAGAATATGGTACACATTTATTGTTAAATGAAAATAAAGGAATTTATTACCTGTACACGGTAGTACGGTAGTTGTCAACACAAACCAGACAAACTGAATCCTACAGTATCAAGAATTGACTCATTTATTCAGTGACAATCATGTCATCATCTTCTGGAACATCATCATAACAATCCAATTCCTGAACTTCCTGGTGAATTTCTTGTGACTCCATTTCTTTCAGAATCAGTGGATCAAATCTCTCATGTTTAGCCTAAGGGGGGGGGGGGGTATATTTTTCACTCAGAAGGAAACCTCTAAGTAGGTCTTATTTTCGGAGAATGTCTTATTTTCGGGGAAACACAGTAATATTCCCTTGTTAGTTTATCATCTTTCTATCTAATGAGTTTACTTAGTATTCCCTTGTTAAATTGTTAAATGCCAATAAACCTTTTTTTTTTTTTTAGGTGTGCTGAAAAATATTAGAGAAAGAGAACTATATCTTAGTCTCTTTAAAGCTATTTTCTTTTTTCTCCTGTTTTCTTTTCTAATAAAGTAAATAAACAATCTCTTTGGGCTTCCAGATCCTCAGTTAATGTAAAATTGGCATTTGTTGAAAACTCCAGATCTCCTTGGAAAGCATATCTGGTTTTGAATTGAACATAAAAGCATTAAACAATTGGATAGTTCTTCTAAGTGGCTAAAATTTTTCACTCCTATCTGAACATCTTGTTTTGAGAACTGGGTCTCTCCCCCCCCAGTTTCTATCTTCTATTCAGATGATATTAATAGTTGTGCTTATGTGTTGTGTATGTGTTTTTAATCTCTACTTAGGTTGACCTGACAGTTCAAGAAAAAGAGAAATATCTTAATGTGTCTCGCTGGTTTTGTCACATTCAGCATTATCCAGGCATCAGGCAACATCTGTCTAGTGTTGTCTTCATCAAGAACAGACTGTATACAAATTCCCACTAGAAGCTACCCAATTCTGTGCCGAAGAGAATGTCTGAATGTATTATTTTTTCTTTAGTTGAAATTTTGCAATTTTTAATGTAAAAATTCAACTGCTATCAAAACTTTAGCTAAGATCAAGTTATAAATCAACTTGTTTTTATAGATGAAATTTATTTTAATAAAAGTTGCAAATCAGTGGCTTAATTAAAAAAAAAAAACATTAGTCCTTTTAATGATTGACCTATTTGGCTACTTATTGACCTATTATATTTTAAAATGCTGTTTCCCCTTATGAATATTTATTCATTGTTTATTAAGATCTATAATAAATTGTGCCAAGGATAGAGAAAAAGACATATGTGTTTGTTTTCAAATATTTATGTGAACCAGTAAATGTGGTTGAAAAAGTCTTTTTTTGTTTGCTGATTTCTTTTCTGTAGTCATTATTCATTGAAGTGAAACTAACTACTGAACTGCCCTAGAGGGAACTAGAATAAGATTCATTCCCTTGAGTTAATGGTTCTTTTGTTGTTGTTGAGTTTAGTGGAATATGCAGTAGATAAAAAGAGAAGGGAATTTCCTGCTATCCCACTAATTTGGGGCTAGATAACTACTAGATTAAAAGCCAACTTTTATAGAAAGGCTGCTGTTGAAGCAAATGTAAAAAACAAAGAGACACTTTATTTAACAAATCTATACAATGTATAACTCTTACTGGCTGATTAAATAATCATTTATTGAGAACTAAAGAACTTACATTTTCAAATAAGAAAAATCCAGTCTTCTAGCACTTGACTGTTTAATGCTATTAGGTCTAGTAATAATTAATGTCGTTTTCTAATACTTTTTTTTTTTTTAAATCGAATTTATTTAAACAATACAACAAAATTTAATCAACAATATAGTTGCCGTTGTTTTCTACTACTTGTGCCCAACGCTCAGGAAGCATTTTAATCCCTGTGTTGTAAAATTCTTGTGATTTTGATGCAAAAAATTCGGTCAATGCATTTTTGAGGCATTCTTCATTATTAAATTTTTTTCCAAGAAGAAAGTTTTGCAAAGAACGAAACAAATGGTAATCGGAAGGGGCAATATCAGGAGAATATGCAGGTTGAGGGAGAACTTCCCATTCCAACTGGCGCAGTTTTTCAGCAGTGATTCTTGCAGTATGCGGTCGTGCGTTATCGTGGTGAAGAATTACGCCCTTCCGATTAATCAGCGCGGGTTCTTTTTCTCTTAAAGCTTGGGCTAACCTTCCCAATTGGGTACTATACACTGCACTTGTAATGGTTTGGTTAGATGGTAAAAGTTCATAATGAAGAATTCCTTTAAAATTCCACCAAACACACAACATCACTTTTTTCGCATGCAAGTCAGGTTTTGGCGTGGGCTGCGGAGCCTCATTTTTGTCCAACCATTGAGGCCGCCTTTTCAAATTAACATACAGCACCCATTTTTCATCTCCGGTAACAATTTGCTCTAAAAACGGCAAACGGTTTTGACAAGAGAGGAGCGAGCTGCAAATTGTGACTCTTTGATTACGGTTGTTGTCGGTCAACTCATGAGGAACCCATTTTCCAAACTTTTGGACTTTGCCAAGTGCACGCAATTGATTGGAAATTGTTTTTTGTGAACAATTTAAAGTTGTCGCAAGCTCTTGTTGAGTAATTTGAGGATTTTGCACCAAAAGAGCTTGAAGAGCTTCTTGATCAAAATTGGACACACGACCTCCACCACTCTTGTCATCTAACGAAAAATTTCCCTCGCGAAATTTCTCAAACCAACGCTGGCATTTTCTGGCGCTAACTGCATCTTGACCAAGAGCACTACAGATGTTTTTTGCAGCCTCACTTGCTTTTCTTCCTAATTGGAACTCGTAAAGCATGCAGTGCCGAATATGCTCTTCATCCGCCATCTTCTTAGCCCTAGTTTTGCAACAAAAACCAAACCAAACACAAACTTTTTCAAGCAAAACTTGTTAATTGCACTTCACACGTTCTGTAGATACCACGTGTTTGAAGGTTATGTCAATACAAGTCAACGCCAAGCAAGATTTTAAACGAATATTTAAAAACGACATTAATTTGCCGAAACCGGTTTGGCTCAATGGATAGAGCGTCGGCTTGGGGACTGAAGGGTCCCGGGTTTGATTCCGGTCAAGGGCATGTACCTTGGTTGCAGGCATATCCCCAGTAGGGGGTGTGCAAGAGGCAGCTGATCGATGACACTCTCTCATCGATGTTTCTAACTCTCTCTCTCCCTTCCTATCTGTACAAAATCAATAAAATATATTTTTAAAAAAACGACATTAATTATTACTAGACCCGATAGTATTTTGGTTTGATTCTAAATCTAAGTTCTAGTATATGAATCAAAGAGCAGGTAGAAAGAGCAGGATAGGAAATAGACAGCATTCACATTATGCCTCACTGCTACGAATTATTCCTGTCCTCACTCTGCTCTTCTCCACCTGGACTGCAGGTCAGCAGGACAGATAGGGTAGACAATTGATGGGTTACCCTGCCTTACCATCCCAACCATTTTATTTTTTTCCCTTCAGTTTAGGTCTGTTGTGAGGGAAGGGTAGAAGACACCTAATTTCTTTGCCAACTGTCCCTTCTTCCCACTTCTACCTTATAGTCTTAACCCTCTGAATCCTTACATCTGTTAACCAGTTCTTTATTGAAGTGCACAGCATTGTTTCAACAGATGTTTCCCAGTGTTACTATGGGCCAAGACATCCCTCTAGCAACTTAGATCTTACTGAATAAGGGGAAGGCATAAATATGAAGGCCTGGCTCCTGCAAAAGTTAGATATTGTTCTCAGTGTCTAAATCGAAACAATTCATTTCTCATAGAAATGCTGCTGTGCATCATGGTCATTTTTTTCATGTACCTCTCTGCCTGAAATGCCCTTTGCCCTTCACTTGAAGGCCTCATCAGTATTCAGCTTGCTTATATTTTCTTGAAAGTCAGGTCTGTTAAGACCAATCAACCCATCTCTGCCTGCCTTGTTTCTGGCACCAATGGCATTGTACTATTTTTTATTATATGTCTCTTCCACCAAACTGTTAATCCCTGAAAGCAGAGGTTCCTTTTTCTTTGCATGTCCAGCCCTCAAAACAGTGACTGGCACATGCTCAATGCATGCTTGTTGAAAGACTGTAGTACTCTTTAAAGTCCATTTTGGGCTGACAAAAGTGAATGTGTGAATTGAAATTAGGGACAGCTGTGTAGAGCACAAAAAAAACAAATAACTTTAAAGCAGGTTGTTTTTCTCTCATGTAAATGAGCATAAGATAGTCCATAGTTGGTATTCCACCCCTAGCTCCCATCTTTCTTCACACTAAACAAGTAATGTTCTTGAATTTAACTTATGATCCAAGATGGCTATCAGAGCTCCAGACAAGTCTATAATCAAGACCCAGAGGAAGAGAAGGACAAAAAGACTCCTTTTGAAACTAATTCCTAGAAGTCCTATTCAGCAATATCTATCTATATCTCTGGTGTCCCTGCTGGGACAGAGTCTAGAAATAGAGTCCTTTACCCCCCACATGGCCTTCCAGATCAAGCCTGTGCCCTGCCAATGAGGAAGAAGGGAAAAGGGACACTGAGTAGGCGGCTAGCTGGCTCTGTCCCAGTAAATAGTTTGGGAAAATGCCTCTGAATGCCAAATAATCAACTTGTAAAATAATTTTTATTAGTACATTGTTAACATTCCATGGATTACTAATTTGCAAAGAATATGATAAAATAAGTACTTTACTGACTGCAATTTTCATGATTCAGAAGTTATTTCAGGATCCCACAATATTCAATTACCAGGAATATCTGTTAATATGCACTTTTAATAACAACAACAATAATAGTTAACTTATTGGCATGTAGTATGTATCAGACAGCATTTTAAGTGAATTTACTAATTATATCCCCTTTTTGCAGATAATGAAAATTGCCTAAGGTCACAACCAGTATCAAGGGGCTGGGATTCAGACAAGTGTCTGGCTCAAACTTAACCTGTAATCCACTTCATTGGTGTACCAGTAACGTTCTGCTTAATCAATTTTTGAAGGTAGTTTTTAAAACTTTAGAAAAAAGCTGCCTAGGCAGTGTGTGTGTGTGTGTGTGTGTGTGCGCGCGCGTGTGTGTGTATCTTCAAGAATAAATGAGATAGTTACATAACTCAGAATGTACTAAAACCTACTGACTTGTATATTTTAAATGGGTAAATGTTTATCATTTGTGAATTATTGCACAAAACCAGTGTTTTTAAAAAGGAGTGAAGTCAAATACTTCAACCTCACCAAGTATTATGAGACATTGGATAAGTCAGTGCACATGAAATTCCTCTTAAGAAAAAGAAATAAAGATGACTGATTTTATGGGTTTTTTTAATTTGCCATGGCAGTATAAGCATTACCTAGCACCATGCCTAGCGCACACAAAGTGATCAATAAAAGATCGATTTTTTAAGGTCAAATTCTTAAACTAATTCTTTAGTTTTTTCCCCACCTATCGTCCCTGAGGCACCTGCTCAGTGTAAGCCTATCTGAGATAAGACAAATTGGCCGAGTATCTCTCGAATTTTGCTAAAGCATTAATTCAGTTTGCTTACCAGTTTTAAAGTGTCTGGTCCTCACATCTTTCAAGCTGTTGAGAAATGGACCATACTGTGTTTCATCTTTTCTAAAATATCAATGACACTCCTCTGAAACAAAGTGGAGCCAACTTGTCCATGTTATTTCTTCTACAAAGTAGATGCCCTTTTCTAAGCATTATTTTTTTCTCTATAATTCCCAAAAGCCTGTGGGACTGGTCATTCAGTAATACCTCAAATATTCACTTAACACCTACTATGTATTAGACACTGTGCTAGGTCCTTAGAATAACACTATTGCATCTTTGCCTTCAGAGAGTTTACAGTCCAGCCGTCTGTGAACAGATTTCTGAAATGTGAAGCATTCTTTGCAAGATTACCAGCCACACAACATTCTTTGAAAGTAAATAAATATAACCAGGTG